ATTTCAGATTTGCGCATTAGCCAACAGCATACGTAATGATTCTTGGCCTCCACAGCAGTATAGACCATCATTAGCAATAGAATTGAAATTTGGGTCGTTTAAGAATAGGATCTGGTTAAAGGAACGCCTGATGCATAAGGCGCCAAGAGCCTAAGGCTGACCGGGTATGTGATAAGGCTATCATCACGTGCTACAGATAGGGCCGCGCCACGATCCCAAAACGGTAAAGAGAGTAGCCTGCAACGCAAGGCGCCTGCTGCGTTTGGATGCCACGCTCACGAGGCTCCATAAGCATTGCCAACCATCACCTGCTCTCGACCGTTCTCTGAACTTTTTTCAATTTGTTTCACGTCCAGTATCTATTTTTCTCTCCCTGTTAGTCCTGGGCGGCTGTCGGATCCGTGTTCCTTGGCTTGATCTGAGACATTCATTCTGTTCTATACTTGGCAAACGTGGCCGCAACAGCAGTACTTCCCTGCCTTCGAAAGCGCATTCTTTTTAAGGCTGCATGTCCTCGCAATCTCAGAAATCATCCCGTCTTGGAGAAGGCTGAATTGATAGTCGCGATCCTCTATCCAGCTTCCCCTGCATGGATGGTTCATTCCCTACATCTTATTTCTACCTAGCAGCCATCGTTTCAAGCCGCTGCCGGTTCTCGATCTAGGATTGATAACCGCTGTCGTGTTTTCGCTTTGATTTCGCGGAAGGAGGGGATTTTATCTTCACGTCGAAATAATCGTCAACCCTGGGAAGGGGCAGCGAAATTGACCTACGGTGGCTTCAACGCATACACAACCCGAGGAGGAGGGTTGGGAACTCGAGCCGGTCCTCGACTCCCATAAATCAGATGACGAGATGTCGCCAAACCGTCCAACTGTGCATCGTCCAGTAGACGGCCGCCCTCACGAGCCGTTGCTACAGGATGAACGTCGGCGATTGTCGAACACCGATTTTGGCCGTGGCAATGCGGAAAACAGGCCTATGCTGCACCATTCCAGGCGGCCGACGATCAGGAGTCCCGAGTATTCTGCGGAGCTGGCGACTCGGCGAAAGTACATGATTGCGTCGGGATTTTTGCTGTTGAGCCTGGCTAGTTTTGTGGTTCAGACCGAGACGGCGGTATATATCCAGCATGAGCTGCATTGGGACAAACCATATTGCATGCTGTAAGTTGAGTGGTTATGGGCAGTCGAGCTTCATCTGACTTTGGATCTTCCTTGCAGCTATATTACCCACGGGTCATGGTCCCTTCTCTGGCCGGTCCAACTCCTTATCTTGCGAATACAGAAGAGGAAGCTTTCCTGGGAAGCTTTCTGGCGACGTCATGTCTATCTGTTACGGACCACGGCGCAAATGGTTGAGTCGAGAGATCTACACCTCACGTCGCGCGATTTGCACCGGTCACCGATTCCCTACATGCTCAAGACGACGGCTTTTGTGACTGTTGCTCTCACCATTGCCGGTGGATCATGGTATGTGGCAGTCAATCTTACGACGGCCAGTGACCTCACCGCGATCTACAACTGCTCCGCCTTCTTCGCGTATGCTTTCTCCATACCGCTCTTGAAAGATAAGCTGCGGTTTGATAAGGTGTTCTCGGTTGTCGTTGCCATTATAGGAGTTCTGGTGGTTGCGTACGGGGATCGCAGCGAAAGCAAACCGACACCGGACGGCACAGTGGGGAAAGCAAAGCAGGAAGCAGAGAACAGACTCCTGGGCAATATTATAATCGGAGTCGGAAGCGTGCTCTACGGTCTGTACGAGGTATTGTACAAGCGATTCGCCTGTCCCCCGGAGGGCACAAGCGCCGGCCGGAGCATGATCTTCGCCAACACCTTCGGCAGCCTCATCGGATGCTTTACCCTGCTCGTGCTCTGGATTCCCTTGCCTATCCTCCACATGCTGGGCTGGGAAGAGTTTCGAGTGCCGACCGGCGAGGCCGCATGGATGCTTCTCGTATCGGTCGCCGCCAATGCCAGTAAGTCTCTCGCACAGTTCAGTTCTCTTGTCCTTAGTTCTGACCATTGCCAGCCTTCTCGGGATGCTTCCTCGTCCTCATCTCCCTCACGTCCCCCGTTCTCTCCTCTGTAGCCGCCCTCCTCACCATCTTCCTCGTCGCCATCGTCGACTGGCTGCGCACCGGGCAACCCCTCTCCGCCGCATCGATTATCGGCGGTCTCCTCATCATTGTCGCTTTCTTCCTCCTGAGCTGGAGCACCTACCGCGAGATGAACGAGGAAAAGAGGAAGAGCCTTGAAGCCGAGGAAATGGAGTCCGAGTGTGATGACTAGACTTGTCTCGAATGGACATTTATCTAATTTATGGGGTTTCTAATAGTGTACCTCTCCTTGGGTGTACCTCCTTTTTGGCTATCGGGATCTTGTACATATTTATATTTCCGGATTTCATAGAGGGTTGCGTTTCCTTTAGATATCGTTGCTGATAGATGCACGCTGCAATGAGTAGAAGGGATAGTGCAATGGCAGTTATTCTGTATAATGATCAATACCTAGTTCTCAACTCGCTTGCTTACTCTATACTACGTACAAGGATCGAACGGGCAGGCAGCTAGACGTCCTGGAAAACCTATATGACATGTTGGTGTTCCAGAGAAGATTCTTTCACAGGAGTAAAAAGTGGCTATATCAACACGAAGGGGTCCGATGGGGACTTTGACAGGGGAAAGGTGGGATGGGATGGGATGTGACTGGATTGATGGAGACCGAACAAAAGGCGACTCGACTCGACTCGTCTCGTCTAGCTAGTGCCGAGCTTGGCCAAGGCACGAACGCCTTGCTCGTCCCATTCTTGCTTGGAGACCCACATGTCCTCCTTGTCGGCGATCTGGGATATGTTAGAGATGTCGTCGAGGGAAGGTCATGAAGGGCATTTTGATTCTTACCAGATTGGCGAGCACGGCACCGCCCAGGAAGACCATGTGTCTCCGTCGGGGGGGATCTTCGATGCGCACTTTGAATTTCTGCAAGAGAGATTTATTTAGCTTTAGTCATTCTCCAAGGAAGCTTAGGGTAGGGACGTACACCGAGTCGCTCGGGGTCTCCCTGGAGTACCCGCGTAAGCCACAGTTGCTTGAGTTCCTTCTCCAGCCGCGACGGCAGACCGGGGTACATGCTGCTTCCACCGCTGAGGACGATAGCCTTGTACAAGCTTGAGCGGACGTCGACATCGGCGCCCTGGATGGTGTTGAAGAGCAGCTCGGCCATACCGGGCTGATCGACGTCCACCAGGTGCGGTTGGAAGAGACACTCGGGGGCCTCGAAGCGCTCGCTGCCTACCCGGATGACCCGGCCATCGGGGAGTGTGTATGATTCGACGAGAACGGTGGTGTCCTCGGAGAGCTTTTTGTCGAGCTCGAGGTCGTACGAGACGTAGCAGAGCTTCTCCTTGATCTGGCGCACTGTTTCGAAGTCGGCCGTACGATTGAGGGCGTAGCCGCGGCGCAGCAGCAGAGCGATCAGGTTGCGGGTGACGTCGCGGCCGGCGACGTCCAGTCGGCGGATATGGTGCTTGAGGACGGTGGATTCGTAGACGGGAATAATATGTGTGACGCCGTCACCGGAGTCGACGACCACACCGCTGCTGAGACCTGGTACGAACAAAGATCAGCTGTCGTTACTAGCTGCTCGGGCGGTTGCACTCACCCTGAGCGTATAGAGCAAGTACGGCCTGAATGGCGACGTATACGCCTCCGAAGTTGTATCCTTCCAGCATGACCTCGCACATCTTTTCGCGGTTCTTTAGGGGGTTCATTGGGGGTTCGGTGAGGAGGATCTTGCGCCCCGTGGGGTCGATTTTCATCTTCTCGTAGAAAGTGTAGTTCCATAGGTGCTGCATGTCGTCCCATTTCTTCACGATACCATTCTCCATCTATGTTACCCGCGGACATCAACCAATGGTTCCTTGAATCAATACCCTGTTGCAAAGACGGTGACGGAGCTCCGCGGGGAAGGCGAGCAACCGTTCGCAACAGGAACAGGGACATGGGAGGCAGAACGTACAGGATAGCTGATCTGGAGCATTGATCTGGCGGCTGCTGCTTCATCTCCGCACATGATATCCTTCACGACAATGTCGCCGGCCTGTTCCTCAGTTCGCAGTATGGGCCGCCCCACTATCGAGGGGAACTGGTGCTCTGGGAAGTTCTGTAGACGAAAGACGCATGAGTACTGCGCATGATTGACAATCTGTGCGTAATAACCAACATACCTGCGCAGCATATCCGACTTTGAGGAAACCAGTTCCTCCGTCGAGGACTAGGTGTGTACGTTAGCTACCTGGCGGACGGGGGAAGCTGCCTGGAGAGGGAATGATGCTCACCAATGGGCATATCCGCCATGGTGGTGGTCGAATAGCAAGTACTTTTAGTTCAGTTAGCTCCTCCGTTAGAAAGCAACAGAAAATCCGGAGCGAAATGCGCTGTTGGAGACGAAAGTTGTGTACGGATTGTAAAGATGAGGGGACGGCGAGGGAGTTTGGGTCTGGAGGTGTGTTAAGTCGACGGGCTTCCCCATAGTCGTCATTAGCGCGCCAAGCCGCATTCCATCAACCGCCGTACGCATGCTACGAGAGTCATAAATCTCACTTGAGTATCTTTGAATTTCAGGCTAGAGAATGACTAGCCAGTAGATAATCCATTGAGCGTTCCAATTCACGTAGACTGATGGAGAGTGCATTGTTGGGTGACTGTGATAAGTCCCTCCGGCATGTAAACACCATAACACCTATCAACAGAGCCGTACGAAATAGTCAACCTGCCTGGTAAATACAAATGTGTACTCCAGGACGGCCTCACAGAACATCTCCCGGTCATTGGAGAGTTGGCAGACGTTCCTACAATGCAGCAGCTACAGTCTGGAAGCAGTCTATCGGCCGATGCCTTCCCGAGATCGGGACCGCCCGGTGATCCCCAGAATAAATAGATATACCCTCATCCCATTCTCCAACTCTGCGCATAACCTCATTTGCAACTCAAAATCAAGATGAGTCGGATCGGCTGGGTAAGTCTTCCCCTAGACCAAACCAACCCAACCCAACGTACTGACCTGAACCCAGTATGGCCTCGGCTCCATGGGCCTGGCAATGGCCACCAACCTCCAACGCCATCTAGCTACAAAACGAGCCCTGAATCTAGTCTATTCGAACCGGACAATGGCACGCGGCGACACATTGAAAAGCTTAGGCGCCGTGCCCGAGCCGAGTTTCCAGAATGTCGTCGCCCAGTGCGGGATTATCTTCACCATGGTACCCCCCCTCTATCCAAAGGAAACTCCGCAATGCATATTAATGGACGATAGGTCTCCAACGACACCGTACTAAGCAACCTCATCACCACAGCCATCGAGTCAGGCCACTCGCTCAAGGACAAGATCTTCGTCGACTGCTCGACCGTCCACCCGCAGACGGTCGGACTGACCGTCTCCAAGCTAAAGGAGAAGCAGGCCTCGTTCCTATCTGCACCTGTCTTCGGGGGGAACCCGATCGCCGTGGACGGAAGGCTCGTCTTTGCGATCGGGGGACCGAGGAGCGCAGCAGAGGCCGTCAAGCCGCTCATCCAAGATGTCATGGGGCGGAAGATCATCGACTGCGGGGAGGATGCGACCAAGTCGTCCCTGTTGAAGATCGCTGGGTGAGCCTTTCTCGCATCACTGCTAGTGGTTTATGCTAATTGTATAGGAACATTGTTACGGTGAACCTGATGGAAGCCGTCGGGGAGGCACAGGTCTTCGCGGAGCGGACGGGCCTAGGCACTGGGCCGATGGAGGAATTGATCGGCGAGGCATTCGGTGCTGTGGCGGGTGGCTACTCTAAGAGGTTTGTGGAGCAGACTGTGATAGGGTGACGCCGTACTGATTGCTATAGACTGACAACCGGCGCCTATGCGCCATCCCTCGACTCCCGTCCTGGGTTCGGTGTCTCGCTGGCCATCAAGGACGCCAATCATGCGCTTGCCATCGCCCAGGAGCATAATGTCCGCCTGCCTGGGCTGCAAGTTGCTCGGGAGAACATGATGGCGGCGAGGGAGTACGCGGGGGAATGCCTGGATAGCAGCTCCATGTATGGAGTCTTGCGGCAGCAGGCGGGCCTGGAGTTTTGGAATGAGAAGAGCAGAAAGGGTGGAAGGTAGTAATAGATTATCAGCGTTGTTTGTATACTTCGTGGACGCGTCGGTGTCGTGTTTATGCTATATACCACCGTTTCGAACCATTATAGAACAAGGAAATGAAATCTTCGCTGCAGAACCACCAACGAAAGAGATCTGGATAGATGTACAACAGAGCCCTAGAATCTCTGCTCGCCTGCTCGCAATGCGCCAGTCACAAAGTCGACAGTCAGATAAATCACCAACCATACACTCCATCTGCCCGGTTTTATGTGAAACAAGAGAAGAAGAGAAAGAGAGGTGCGTCACAAAAGAAATGGAGGTAACAGGCGGATGAGACGCTGAACCAAAGAAACATAACCAATATTAAGATTTGATCCTCGCGGTTTCGGCCATCTGCGGATGCGCTTCGGCAAAAGCTGGGCCGAGCGACCAATTATTTAGATTTCTGAAATGTCGCTCAAATACTGGATTAATGATGAGATCGTCATGATCGCTGGTGGACAGCAGGCAGTCCGTCGCCTCGTACGGCCAGTTAACGGACAGGGTCCGAGTGAATGGGATGAACCACTGCTCAAACGGATAATCCTGATATGAGCCGACCAGCCGATCGCGCATCCGCGGCCACGGAATGTAGTCAATCCAAGCCGGATGAGGTGTGAGAAGTTGGGAGGGCCGAGGTGTGAGCCAGTCCGGCAGCCGCTCATAGTTCTCTTGCGTCGGGTAGATCTGCCACCGCATGAGGAGAAACATGGCATATAAGACGGCCACTTGCTCGGGAAGGGATGAAATATCTGGGAATGCGCGAAGGATATCGACAAACACCTTTGACAGTGGATGCGAGTAAACGTTCTTTTCGGGGTTCAGCAGCGACGAGACACTGGGATAAGGGGGCCCCACGAGCTTCTGTGTGGGAACCCCCTCTGCCGCTTTGCGCTGACGGTGGTGAAGAAAATCCAACAGGATGGCGTCCAATGTGCATGTCGGGGCTATATTTCGGATCGGGGTCCTGTACGCGGGCAAGGGTTGCTCCGGCGCAGGACAGCTAGGCGAAGGTGTGTAGGCTGGAGGCGAATCTGCTTGAGACGGCCTGAAGCTCTCCGTTGAGCTACGGAACCCTTGGACTCTAGGAACTTGCTGAGTGGCATCGAGCAGGAAATTGAAACCCAGTCTCTCGTCGGTACCAAAATCTAATCCGTGGGCGAGGTTATGACGCTGATAGTCAAACGCGATCCGGAACGAGGCCAGTCCATTGCTGCTATCCTGTCGATGCGCACTCATCGTAGGCGCCGAGTGGGTCGACGTCGGCGTTTCTGCGCCAGAAGTCGAGGCCGTATATGAGGATTCGTATCTTTGGCCAGCCGAGGTGAAATGGTGAGTCTCGGTGTACCGCAGCGGGTTGAAGGGAGTGTTCAGAGGTTGACAAGACGGAGGAGGTGCCGCTGCGTGCGGGGGAGGAGGGGGAGGCAGATCTGTTGTCCATTGTGTCAGAGATAGTCCAGGCGAGCATTCATGACAATACCAAAGAGCCCACTCACTTGGGTCCTGCTTCGCAACCAGCGGCTGTATGATATCCATCACGGCCTTAAGCCCGTGCTTCAAGTCCCGATTTTCCGCCTGAATCGCTTCATTCCGCTTCAGTGCCGCCTGGAGATCAAGGAACGGTTTCTGAGACGAGAGCTCGCGCACCCGCTGCTCAAGCGACTCAATGTGCGATTTTGTCCGCTCCCGGATCGCCCGCTGGGCCTGCCGATCATTCGCTCGCTTCTTAGCCAATTGCTCGGGGGTCAGATTGGCCACGCCGCGCGACGAGGTACTGTTGAGCTTGCGTTTCCGGCCCGCGGCCGTCGTGGATCCGCCATGGTTGTCTGCCACGGGTGTCTCGCCGTCGGCGGAGGTGAAACCAGAAGGGGTAGGAGAGGCTTCCTGCTTGAAGCACTCGGGATCTTGATTCGGAGTGGAGAGTATTGTTGAGGACGGGTTCGAGGTGAGTGGTATTGATGCTGTCACTGATACTGACACTGGGGCTGACGCTGGAGCTGGAGTGGTGCTCACGGATGACGATGACTCCAGGGCCGACGAGGCCGCCACATCATTTAAAGGAGGCAGGCGGGTGGCCATGGCCCTCACTGGCGCGTCTAGCTAACGCCAACGGCCATTCAAAGCGTCAGAGGGAAAAGAAGATATTGGATGATGAAGGGTGCCAAGTGGATGTGGATAGAAATAATATCCACGAGACGGGGATTGAGTCAGCGGAAATACGAAAGACTCGACATTTGAACGGACGACAGATAGAATTGGGCGGGGTAGATATAATTTTTGACTCTCAGTCAGGATCGTCCTCCTCTTCCTTCGGCGTTGCTGCTGCTGCTGCTGCTGTTGTTGAGCCTGGTGTTGTTTTACATGGGGGCTGCATATTTTCCACAGATGTCCGCGATTCGAGCCATTCCTTCAGAGACTAACTGAGACAAGGGAACAACAACGGTTTGGGGGGTTCAAAGTGGAGTTCCGCCCCAAACCTTCCGTCGCCGTGGCTCCCTTGAGCCTTGGGCCTTGGGCCTTGGACTCTTCGGAGGGCCTTGGGGATTCTGGCTCAGCCCTGGTCTAGGCATCCAGAATTATTAATCGCCACTCTACGCCATTGACCCAATTAACTCAATCGCCCGACGTCTCGCCGACATTTGATGATTGGACTAACTGGACACGGAAAACGGTCCTCGCAGATACTCGTCTGATATCCACTGCAGTAGAACTAGTCCGACTACAGACTAGACTTGCATTTAGAGTAAGCGAACCAGAGATTAGAGAGGGATTAGACTATCTCGACCAATCGTGCCCAGTTGCACGATGTCGAGAACATCATGTACAAAGTGCGCTAAGTAATACACCAGTTTATGTACCGTACGAAATCCCGAACGAAAATGAGAAATGTGAGCAGAAAGTTTGCGCTGCAGAACCGTTACATGACTGACAAACCATACACCGTATCGACTCGTCTAGATCCAAAAGAAGGAAAGCGTTCTCTGGTTACAACCGAAAGGGAGGCGGATCATTGGAGCAAATGGCCCATTTTCGATATCTGCGAGAGTGAGACATTGTTCGATGATGAAAAAACAGCTAGTTTGCAAGAGATAGATTGTCGACATACCTTTGTTCTCAGATAACCTTCGACCTCTGAACTCTTGATCCCCATCTTTCCACCCGATCTCCATGCCAATGGCACCATCGGCACCCGCTCCTTCACCACCACTTCTCGGTTGGGTCCCTCAACCGCTCGAATCTTGTCCGGGTTGTTCGTAAGAAGCCTGATGCCGTGCGGATTCGAATCGACCCCTAGACCGAGATCTACCAGGATCGCCGTAGCTAGACCGTAACTTCTTGCATCCGCAGGGTGGCGGAGCAGGAGATTGGCTTCCACCGTGTCAGATCCCAGATCCTGAAGATTGTACGCTTTCAATTTCTCGCCCAGACCAATGCCTCGTCCTTCTTGGCGCAGGTATACAATCACGCCCCCAGCAGCATTCGACGGCTCCGCCACGTCGTGCTGTGACGCAGCCTCTGTCAATGTCTCCGTAGGCAGCGACATGAGTCGAGCTGCCTCGTCGAGCTGCTCACCACAGTCGCAGCGTGCAGACCAAGCCGTCTCCCCAGTGTAGCACTCCGAATGGATTCTCACAAGAGGCGCTTCCTTGAGGCTACTCTGAGGCGGTGTGTGCGGACTGGATACAGCGCCGCCAGCTTCCGGGCTGGCAGCTTCTCCAGCTTTCTCCTCATCATACCAACTGCTCACACGGCCCGGACGGAGTTTCCCTACATACGCACCGCGAATCATGCGATCCATCTCCGTCTCTCCAGGTCGGACCTTGTCCAAGCTTCTGCTCCGAATTGTATTCCCAAACACAATCGCCAGATGCTCTTTGCTGTCCAAATCATTGTGATATAGATGGAGAAACATCTCCGCGCCAGTTGTCGTGGGTATCCGAGCGCGGACGATACACTCGACATTGGGAAGGCGAGAAAGCAGCCTTGGGGGCTTCGTATGTGTTGATCCTTGCCGTGTGCCGGCTAATTGGGCCTGTCGGAGCAGCTCTGCAGTATTGATCGAGCCCCCCGGGGTTGCCGGAGGAGTGAAGGAGGGGGAGAGTAATGATGCGGGAATCGCGGGGGTCATGTCCCCCCCGCGGTCAGTGTCGGTGCTGCTGATCTGACTGGAAGTCTCATCTCGGAGCTCATCTAATCTGGAGTGTAACGCAGGGGCTGATGTGGTGTTTGGGTTGAGAGAAAGCTCGTCGACGGGCTGCGGCGTGGTAGGCGATTGCGCCCCGATAGACGGAGAGGCATGGGACGGTAAATTCGACATTGCGATGACGGATTTGGGGAGGAGGAGGAGGGGGCGAAAGTACAATTTTAGAGAAGGGTATCTCAACAAATGATGCTCATTACAGATTGTATATATGAAGAAAAAGCACGATTGATCACTTCACCACATTCTCTGCAAAGGAAAGAAGACGATTGCAAATCATATTTCGGTCGCTCTTCGAATACGGATTCGATGTTCGGCTCCTCGGGACATCCGCAGCTGCAGTTGGCGGGGGTAAAAGAGGCGCTGACTCATCGTGCGATTACATGAAGGTCCACCTGTCATTTGTCAGGCCTGACGTGATCCGCAGAAATCAATTAGTCTTCAGTGCAGTCTAGCATCTTCTACGAGATGAAATTGGCCCAACCAAATAGATAGAGCTTCAATGCATAGTTATCATTATTGTTGGTCTGATAATATCGAAGCACAAGAGACAAAAACTAAAATATCCCAGCCTCAACACCAGATTGCAATCCCATGTGATCAAGCAAGCCAGACTCCTTAACGGCCTCTTCTTCCCGCAATTTAAGAACACTTTTGCTCAAGGGTATCATCAAAAGGGAGTCATCCATAATTCGCAGTCCACCTTTATTCATTTCCCCGGAATGTCTAGGACAAATCGTCGATCGACCTCCATTTCCTTGTCATCTTCCTCGCCCTCGAA